TCTCTGGGAGTTTGAGGCCAGCCTGATCTACAAGAGCTAGTTCTGGGACGGGCACCAAAGCTACAGAGAAACCCTGTCTCGAAAAACAAAACAAAACAAAAAACTATTTCAAATCATTCTATTATGGTGTTATTTAATATACAAATCATACTGTTATATGTGAAATAAAGTATTGGGTTCATTTTAAAGAAAAATAAAGGTTTTACTCTTATATTAGTGCTTTTATTTCTTTTTTCAATGCATTGGGTTATTGTGTTTTGTTTTTATTTACCTAATATATTATAGTAGTGTTTTACTTAATTTTTTTCGATGGCCTCATGTAGCCCACGCTGGCCTTAACCTTCGTAAGTGGTCAAGGATGACCTTGATTTCTAATTCCCCTGTAGTCTTGGGATTAGAGACATGTACTTCTTCTCTCAGTTCATACGGGGCTGGGGATTGAACCCAGGACTTGATACCTGGTAGGCAAATACTCTACCATCCCAAGAAGTATGATCAGAACTTCAAGGTCATCCTCCCTACTGAGGGATTTTAAGGCTAATCTGGGATGTTAAAAATAGAAAAATATCGGTTGAAGAAGATGGACAAGCTTTTTCCCCCAGGTTTCTGCCCTGCCTCTTTGGGTGCCAGAATCATCGATAAGACTAGGTAGGGGCTAAGGTGGGGACCCCTGGCTCCTATTTGACATTTGTGTGTCTCCTGGGCTGGAATTGTAAGCAAATGTCTTTTTTGGGGACATTAGCCATGGGTTGGGGCATCTATTTCTGCCAACAAGAGAGGCGTCTTGGGGAGGGACCTCTAGGACTTGTTTGTTGAGCAGAGTCCCAAACTCACCCCTTCTCCTAACTCTGCTCTCCCCTCTTTTAATGCTGCCAGAGAGCTTGGTCTAGAAGGAAGGGACCCCTCCCGTAGTAGAGCCTGGGGGAATTTGCCTGAATCTTACCACTTAGCTTCTCATTCTTCCTGGGAATTTGTGACTATTGACCCAATTGTCTCTTCCCTAGGGAATTAGGGGCCAGGGAGAAGATCCTTCAATCACCAAAGAGGTAGGATGGAAATCCCGCCCGTGTTGTAGAGCTTCTAGAAGCCATCTATCTATTTGGCAGAGTGAGCTGAGATCTCATCAGGCTGTTGCAAAGACTTATTACATTGACAGTAAAATCCTAATACTACAGTGAATGAATTTAGCACCAAGTGGTGCTGGCTTCAGCCAGTGTCAAAAGAGCTGCATTGGAGCACTCATGCATATGTAAATGGGGTATCTGGGGTGCCCTTAAAATCAGACCTACTCTCTTAAACCCAGCGCGCAGGTCTTCCTGATCATGAAGGAGAGAGAAAGCGGGTTCTGGAAGGGAGAGTGAGACGGGGGAGGGGATGCATGGTTGCCCCTTGGACCCACTGTCTATCTCTCAGTGACTCCCCTCTCTGCCCTGCTGTGTGCAGAAAGCAAGGGTCTATGTGCTGCCTCTCACGCTGAGGACTGGAAGAGTTATCACCAAGTTCTCACAACTGTGAAAAGCATGTCCTACAACTCCACTCAAAACAATGACTGTTCCTCAAGGTTCCTGAGGTCCTGAGGTCATATGATGCATCTGTGGGTTAAAGTGACCCTGGGAAAGTCCCTGGAATGAGAAACCTATTGCCAAGACCAGGCTGAGGCACCTGTGTAGGTTTAGAAAGGCCAGGACCTGTTGTTGCATGGAAGGCTGAGATCCTTGTGTTAGCAGAATTTGATAGGAACTAAATGAAATAGGAGAAAGAGCCTACTACTTCTTCATGTAGTTAATTCAGTCAAGAAACAGGGACTCGTTTTTGTTATTTAAAAAATAAAATTCTATCGTATTCATGTCTATTATTTCTATCCTCCACAAGACCAGGATCACATTCTTAATCCCCATATCGAAACACATACCCGGGCATCCCTGACAGCTTTCTCAGCTTCTAAAGACAAAGCCCCTGGGCTGTGTGCATTTTCACTTTCTTAAAGATCTAAAAATGGTCCCCAGATATGAGTGGATGGACGTCTTCTGAGTCCATACTTGTTTCTTTCTGATTCAAGCAGTTTAGCCAGGGAGACAACTTCAGTCTTTAAGATGTATTGAGAAATAGTTCGGATGTGCAGGAAAGCGTTTGTGATGTGAAGCAACCTTTGAACTCTTGGTTCAGAGCAAGGAGCAAAGGGCAAGCCACACAGATGAAGTTCCATCGACTTCCCAGTCCCCATGTAACTTGAAGCTGACATTGTTCCCATGCTTATGATTGTTTTTTCGTGTTTCAAGCTTCACATAAAACTCCCTCTGGTCATGCACTTCTTTGTCTTTTTTTTTTTTTTTGTACTTTTTAAAATTATAATTTGTTGTTCTACTTTAGCATATACTTATTTTTACTGTGTATATAGAAATATTATTGGGTTTTATTTTTTCTTTTTATTGAAAATAGATTTTTTTCTTCACATAATACATTCTGATTATAGTTTTCCCTTCCTCCACTCCTCCCAGTTCCTCCCCACCTCCTCTCCCATCCAAATCACTCCCTTTCTGTCTCTCATTAGAAACCAAACAGGCATCTCTCTCTTTATTTAACTTTTACTTAAATTTTATTAAATATTGCTAAAGTGTGTACAGAGGCTTATACCTACTTAAATACCCATTACTAATGTACAAAACTTTATAACAGTTCTTGTTATTCCCTCTTTGGCATCATTTTGACAGCATTGGAACATAATTTTCCCATTTATTACAAAGTGCACTCTTCAGTTTTTGTTTGCATTTCCAGTTATTAGTGAGTCGGAGCCCGCTTATTGGCCAGTTTCCTTCCAACTCTGAATAACTAACTCTACCTTTTGATCCCTCTTCTGCCAGGAGGTTGTTGCCATGGTTCCTCGTTACCTCTTGGGCGTTCTTCAGGTGTTCTGAATGCTACCCAGCCCTTAGGAAGATGCACGGCAGATACTCCCCACCCCCTCACCCCTTGTTCTTTGCTTATGGTTGAACTTGGCTGCAAAGCTGTTGGTCATGTTCACGCAGCCGGTCACATTCCTTCAGTAGTTTGTTGTGGGCAGCTTGTCTCAGGAAATAGCTTCCTACCTCAGCCCGGAAGGCTGTTCCTCAGGGTTTTCCTAGGGAACCTCCACGCTCGGCACTGCACGTTTAACTCCTTACATGTTTCGGGCTTGGTTTTTCTGTTGTATGGGAGCTAAAGATTCCATTTTCTTTCATCTGCAAAACTGTGGTCCTGATGCCATCTATTGAGTAACCCTCTTCTCCATCAGTGGCCACGCAAGGACAGTCCATGAGCTACAGAGTACTGAGGTCCCTGCCTTTCCCGTTCGTCTACTTGACACCCTGGATGAAAGATGGACTGCCTTCATCACTGTAGTTTTACAGAATGTCATCAAAGCAAACTCCTCTACCTCATTCTTCAGACTGACTTGGACCATTTTTAGAATTTCTGTATTCTTTTCCCCTTCCTCAACTTTGTCCTGACTGGGCATAAACAATAAAATGCCAAAACTTGAGCAAAAGAAGGAAACGAAGCAAAAGTCAACCAACGTGCTTGCCTTGCTTTTTAAAAAACGCTACCTTTAAACGCATGCTTGCACACAGAGGGTTCTGAAGTAGCGCTCACATTGTACGTCTGTGTCCTGGATCCCTAAGAACGATTGATTTAAAGGTCAGGCTGTCCCTAGAGAAGCCCCCAGAGGGCACTGACTCCATCACAGCACTGGTCTAAGAATGAAGCATTCTTTCTTTAGTTCAAAGGAGACTTTATTTCCCCGTGACATTTCCATAACCTCACGAAGACTCCTTGGTGTTCCGCAGTGTGTTCAGATTGAGACGTTCTTGTATGGATCGCAGGACAAGAGGACCCTGGCCACGCAGCAGACCATAGACACACTGTCCAAGTGAGTCAGCTTCCCTTGCGTTTGCACTGAGTATCACAGCTCTTCATTAATCAGAACCCGAGGCTGCCACTAGAAGGTTCTGTGGGCATTTCATTGGCTTCCCACAGCTTATATAGTTAAATGTAAGACTAGGTCCTCTGAGAAGCCAGCTATAAAACATATTCCTTGCCCTAATATTAGAAAGGAATTCATTCTTTAAGAATGTTGAAACACACTCGGGCTTCCTCCCAGAGACTGGCCCCTGCAGGTTTGCGTGCTTTCTTCCTTGGAAGTTCTTCCTTGGGCTGACCTCAGTTCCTGATGGGGCAGGCGGGGGGCGGGGGGCAGGGGTGACAGCAGAACTGTGGCTTGAAGATTGGCCCTGTGCCTTTTCTCAGCAAAGAGAGAAGCTTGGCACTACTTGGGAGGACCTCCATTGCACGTATTCCCTGGAGGCCTCTGGGCTGAGGGTCAGGTCCCTGTCAGGAAATGACAGAAGTGGCTTCACTGGAGGCACAGACCAGCCAGAAAGGGTACCATTCCCTGTTAGGATGGCGTGCGTGAACCAACAAGCCTCCCACCAGAACTTGACAGTCTTCTTCACTCTCACCCTCCTACTGACCTACCTCAGACCTGACTGACTGCCTCAGCTCGGGGAAGATGGCCGCAAGGCATTAAAAGAGGAGAAACGCACCTGTGTTGCTGCTCCTGCCATGACTCTTCCTCACCTGGATCCCCTCCTGAGGCTTCTTCACAGCTGAGGCTGGTGGGAACTGTGGTGCTCTAAGGGGCCAGACTCACCCGCCTTCTTTCTGTCTACAGGATCTCTGAGGTTGCCATGAAGCCGAGGCAATCTCCGAAAGCCAAGGCAGCTTTCTGCACCAGCATCCCTCAGAACACTGTGCCAGGCAAGGCCAAGCACAGTGTGGCCGACTGAGCCCCCCATGTGCCCCAAAGAAAGTGCCACGAAAGACTTGGCATTGCTTTTAGGATGCTGAACAACTCTCTGTCCAACTAGAAGGTGAAATTTAGCTGTCGCTGCAGGTTTTTAAGGCTGTTTGCAACAGCAGTACCCTTGACTTCCATATTTCAAGTGTGGACGCCCTCCTGGATGACCTTTTGCTTTTTTTTTTTTTTTTTTTTTTGTCACTTGGATAATTTCTCTCACCAAGGAGAATGTCCCTCATCATCTCTACCGTGTCGGAAAGACTCTTCCGAAGTTGAAGCTTCCTTGCAGGAAAGAGACTGCCCCTGATTGCAGGTAGAGCCCCTGCGTAGTCCAGAGCCGCCTCTGGGGTAGCAAGACTGCACATGCCTTCCTTAGAGGAAAGTAATAGGGACCGAGAAGAAAATGCCAATAAAGAGAAACTTGTGCTATTGTCAATTTGTGTGTTTAAAATGAAGACTGGAGTGGGCGATGTGGCTCTATGCCAGAGCGCATGCCTGGGCTTCACGAAGCTGGTTATGGTTTGAAAGTGAAATGCCCCTCATAGACTCGTGTTTGAACGCTTGGCCCCCACTGCTCTTGAGGCAAGGGTCTAGTTGGATGAAGTGGGTCATTGGATTTTGGCCTTGAGGTTTCGTTGGCCTGAGCCCTACTTTCTATCTACTCTCTGCTTCCTGACTGCAGACTCTGTCTCTCTGCCTGGTGCTTCGGCAACCTACCTTCCCCACCATGGTGTGTATGTATTTATGTATGTATTATGTATGTAACATATTATTATGTATTATGTGTGTGTATTTATATATATACACACAGAGAAAGTACATACACATGCACACACACGCATACGCGCGACAAGCATTCATGCACGTGAACACACACATGTGCACGCACATACATCCCTTCCATCTAAAAGCCAAAATAAACCCTTTTGCTTCTTGTTGGTTGTTTGATTGTAGCAGTGAGGAAAATAACGCGAAAGATGGGCATTTGGAGCGGCTCCACTGCTGTGGGAGGCCTGACTGTGGCTCTTGGGTGTTTGGAACTGGTTTGCAGGAAGACTATGGAAAGTTTAGAAATAAGGGCAAGAGAGCCTGTGGCATGCTGAACGCAGATTTTTTTTAATTTGTGCACATTTTTTTAAATTGATTTTTATTGAGCTCTTCATTTTTTCTCTTCTCCCTTCCCTGCCTTTCCCCTCCCCACTTCAACCCTCCCCCAAGGTCCCCATGCTCCCAATTTACTCAGGAGATCTTGTCTTTTTCTACTTCCCATGTAGATTAGATCAATGTAAGTCTCTCTTAGTGTTCTTATTGTTGTCTAAGTTCTCTGGGATTGTGGTTTATAGGTTGGTTTTCTTTGCTTTATGTTTAAAAACCACGTATGAGTGAGTACATGTGATAATTGTCTTTCTGTGCCTGGGTTACCTCACTCACAATAATGTTTTCTAGCTCCATCCATTTTCCTTCAAAGTTCAAGATGTCATTATTTTTTTTCTTCTGTGTATTACTCCATTGTGTAAATGTACCACATTTTCCTTATCCATTCTCCAGTCGAGGGACATTTAGGTTGTTTCCAGGTTCTGGCTATGACAAACAGTGCTGCTATGAACATAGTTGAGTACTGAGCGCAGATCTCAATGGAGCATCCTGGTGGGATTCCAGAAGACCAAGATGCTAGGACAGATCCTGACAATAGAGGACAATAGGGCTCTAGAAGGACCTGGACAAAAGGCCTTCTGTTCCACATTATAACAGACAGTCTGCATTCAGCCCGTGTTCCAAGAGCTCACATGAGCCTAAATTTAAAGGTAATGGACTAGTGTGTCTGGCGGAGGAAACCCTTAGGAAGGAGAGCATTCAGGTGTGGTGTAGTCCTTATCCAGAGAAAGCAACATGTGGAGCAGAAGACATGAAAGATGTGGCAATTAGTGGGGGAAAGAATGAATTCAAGCTGGAGATAAGGTAGGTACAAAAGCAGCTTGGCTGTTAAAGGGTTAAAGGGCGAAAGCAGGGCCCTTGTCTTCCTCAGGAGTGTGGCAGCTCAGCGGGCTAATAGCTCTTCTCCCCAGCCTCAGGCCTGTGGGATGGCAGCAAGGTACAAAATCATTTGTGGCCACCTAGAGTGTCCTAGCTAGCTGAAGACATGTGCTTCAACACAGCTAGTGGGAAAAGCATTTTAAAAACAGAGGCTGCCATGGGCTTCCTTGTCCCTGAAAGTTTATGTCTGAAGCCTTAACCCCCCAGTAATGACATCTGGAGATAGACTGTGGCAGCAGGGGTGGGGGCGCAGGTAGGTAGGAGCAACGCCCTTATAAAGTGGACCAAGAGAAGCAATCTCTCTCCCTGCTCCCTGAAGACAACTCTAAGGCGGCTGTCTATGAGTCAGGAAGCAAGCACTTACCTAGCAGAAGCAAATTCGTTAGCATTCCTGGCTTGCAGTCTCAGAACTGGAGAACTCGGGAATAAACGTGTTGCTGAAGCCATGCAGCAGCACACCCAGAGACACATGGTGTCTGATCTGTTACTTCATGCTCTCTGAATTTCTTGGGATGTATGTTAGAATCACAGAGAACAACCTCCTTTTTAAACGTGAATTCCTGCCCCCAGGAGCAGTGGAAACAGTGAGGGTGCTGGTTACTTTGTTATTTATTTGCTTTTGCTTTTGTCAGTTTGGTGCAAAGCGGGTAGGGGGATTCATCTGGAAGAGGGAATCCCAGTTGAGAAAATGCCTCCATGACCTGATCTGCAGGCATGTCTGTGGGGGATGTCTATGATTAATAACTGATGTGAGTGTTGCCACCCCTGGGCAGGTAGTCCAACGTTATCTAAGAAAGCAGGCTGAGCAGGCCATGGACAGCAAGCCAGGAAGCAACCTTCTCCCACAGCCTCTGCTTCAGCTCCTACCTCCAGGTTCCTGGGCTGCTTGAGTGGTTGCCTTGGCTTCCCTCAGTGATGGGCTACTATCTGTGCAGGGAAGTCAAATGAGCCTTTTCCTCCCCAGGTCGCTCTGAGTCACTGTTTTCATCCCAGCAGCAGAGAAGTAACCAACACAGTGAATGCTCTCATGTCCCCACCTGTGCCGTTAGCTCCCACCAGAGAGAAGAAATTACAACCATTCACGTTTTCATTTGTGTTGATAAAAGACTAGATTATAGACCGACAACAAACAGTCACCCGCTTCTCTGTTTTAAGCTGCTAGATTTATTTTATTTTTTGGCAAGATACTGAGAAATGGCCATGGGTAACCTTACAAACTGTGTTTTGAGTTAACCAGCTGTCCAGCTCCTGTCCAAGACAACGCTGGTTTTAGCGCTGAATAACTGTACCTTGGCACCCTCCTCCATCCCGGGCAGAATGGGTAGCTGTTTCCTCCTGCTGGCCAACCGTCTTCCAGGCTGTGATGACATTTTAGTGCCAATTGTCAAGTCCCCACTTGGAGACAAGCTAGTTACTGCACGCTCTCTAGTCTGTGCCTACAATACAGTGTTCTACTCTCAGGGGAACTGGAGAACTGAAGTTTCCATCCGTGACCTTTCTAATAACTCAGGGCTACCATGGGAACATGGACAGAAACCCAGGTTGGCTTTCACTCGAGTCTGAAAGAACCACACAAAACCGGCCGGAAGACATTCTCTTTAGGAACGATGCTGATATTTTTCCCCCCCTCATATCTTTATTTCCACACATTCTTGTGACAGGTCCCTTTGCAGGGAACAGGAGGTTAGCAAAAATAAGCTTCTTAGGTAATTCTAAATAAACACTTTAAATAAACTATCAAAACAACCAGTGGAAAACCGAGAAACATTCAGCGTCTTGTGGGAGAGCCTGGGCGTGGCCCCACCCTCCCTGCCCTACCACAGTGCTGATCTGACTCCAGACTGACTGGGCTCAGAAACCTGCAGGGAGGTTTTAGACGTCAGCTGCAGTGTCTATGCGCCCTTCACTGCCTACACAGCTGCTACAATAACATCAGGGTGAGAGCCCTGCCCTTAGTGACCCGGATACCCAGTAACCAATGACAGCTGAGGATTCCTCCATTCTGGTAAATACTCCGAGCAGAACCTGCCTCGTTGTGCATTCCAGCTTTAGCAATGAAAATGACTAGTTAACACTAAGGCCTTTATTTTTTTTTTTTCAAATTGAGTAAAAGTGGCCATGATATTGACACCCTGCTCATACTAGCATCCACGTGCAAGTTCATGGACTAAGACGATGGCGCCCACCTAAGCCCACTTAGACTTAGACTTAGACTCATCATAAACTCGACATCGTCACTCTGTCTCATGTCATTACACCGAGGCTGTCACCTCAACCACATCCTAATAACTCACTCAGACTTGCCGATTACGGCAAAAATCCAACAGCCCATCTCTGACGGTATTCGAAATGACAGAGGCCAAGGCAGTGACTTCTGGGTCAGGCTGACAGCCATGAGTTCATCTTTATGGGTAAACAAAGGCTTAAATCTCCCGTTCAAATTGCTCTCTTCCTGGACCCTGATGCAAGGCGTTTGAGAAGCAGATCATCTTAAGCCATGCTGCATTTCTCTTCTACTCAGCAATGAAAAAACCTCACTCTCCTCCGCCCAGCTGCTGGAGCCAGAGCGGGAGATGCGCCCTGTGAGACAGGCACACAGGGAGGGAGGCCTTCCTGTACCACACTCCTCCCCTCCCGAAGATGGCATCACCTCGGATCCGTCTTGCTCGGTGCCCTACAGGCAGGTCTGTGGGCTGGGTTCAAAAGCAGGGCTCAGCCCTATCAGAGCTGCTATTCTAAACTCACAGAACGCCGCGCCGAAGGCCACTTTTATGTGATGCTGGATCTTCAGCATTGGGGGTCTTAAAAACAATATCCACATATAAAGGAACAATTCCAAATGAGCATATCATCCTATTAAACCCAGTGGTGCCCAGTTTCAGGCCCATGATTTTGTGGTCCATGTGGCCTTTGTCATTGGACAGAACCAGTCCTGGATGATAGATTGCATGGTTGCATGGGGGGCTCTTGGTTCCTTCCCCTAAACAGTTAAATCCCCCCACCCCCACCCTCGTACTTTTCTGTTCAAAGTGCAAAAAGCTTCTCTGAGGTTTGTATATGGCTGCTGCTTTTTTAAATCCTTCATTCCAGGAGCTCAGAAAGACCTCCAGCCCACGAGAGGTGAGTTCAGAATGACTTACTCGGGAGGCACCAGCTGCTTTGTGCTTCTGTGTCCCTGCCAGTCCAGCTGCAGGCTAAACATCTGTACTCCCTTCACTGCCTACACAGCTGCCTCTTCCCAGTGAGAGCCAATGTTCTGGTCATAAAGGTTACAGCACAAAGCGGCTCAGAACACAGGGCCTAGCCCAGTGGTCCTCACTCCTCTTAATGCCGCGACCCTTCAATACAGTTCCTCATGTTGTGGTGACCCCCCCCCAACCATAAAATTATTTTCACTGCTACGTCAGAACTGCCATCTTGCTATTGTTATCCATCACAATGCAAGAGTCTGTGGTTTCCAATGGTCTTAGGTGACCCCTGTGAAAGGGTCATTGACCCCCAAAAGGGTCACAACCCACAGGAACTGCTGCTCTAGTAGGAGGAGCTTCCCCAGGGCTCGGGTCAGCACAAAAGGTGTCCTGCTATCTCACAGCCTAGTACTGTAAAGACCAACTGGAGACTATGCCGTTAGCAGTCCTCATCCTCAGCTGGCCGTGCCTGTGGTCATGCTGACACATCTGTACAATCAGGACAGTCACGTGACCTGAACCGCCAACAAGAGACCACAGCTGTGCTTTCCAGAGAGAACTCTCAGCCTTCCTTTTTCTAAAGTTCTATGCATAGAAAGCAAGTTATTCAATTTGAAATTAATTTTAAATCTCTGATAAGTAGCTGTTTATTAAATCATCTAGTAGATTTTTTTTGAAACATAGTCTTGTTTATTACTCTATAACATTTCTTTGTTTTGTTTTTTAAGACAGGGTTTTTCTATGTAGCCTTGGCTGTCCTGGAACTGACTCAGTAGACCAGGCTGGACTTGAACTCACAGAGATCTGCCTGCCTCTGCCTCCTGAGTACTGGGATTAAAGGCATGCACCACCACTGCCCTGCCTGGCTAAAATTTATTTCTGTTTTTATTTGTGTGTGTGTGTGTGTGTATGTGTGTGTGTGTGTGTGTGTGTGTAGATATGTGCACATGAGTGCGGGTGCCTACAGAGGCCAAAAAGGACATCGGATCCCCTGGAGCAGGAGTTGCAGGTGGATGTGAGCCGCCTGATGTGGGTGCTGGGAACTGAACTCAGGACCTCCGCAAGAGCAGTGCAGGCTCTTAACCACTGGGCCATCTCTCCAATCCTTCTATAATTTCTTTTTGAAAAGACTTAGGAAAGAGAAAAATTTATGTATTTTTCCTTCCCAGTGTTAGTTTACTGTTTGATATTAGCACATGCAAACAAAACCTACCCTTAAGCATATTATTTTAATCTGGTTAATGTTAAGGTGTCTTGCTTCAGATAAACAGTAGCGCACAGTAGTAATAAGTCACGCCTGTGACCTGGTGCAAAACTCGCACAAACTCTCCCCGCACGTGGAGAGAAAGCCTTAGAGAAAGGAACTTTTTAAGACTAAAAAGATGAAAAAGTATCTGCCGAAGTCCCAACTCAATTGTAAAATCTCAAAGCCTTAAAAGGCCAGAGTCGATCTCAAACCTTTACAAATGAATTCTAAAGCAAACCGACTCGGCCTAGGGTTCTCTAAATAAAGGTATTGATACCCAGCCTCCCCCTCCTCCGTACAGTTAGTAGAGGCTTTGTATATTGGTACGTTAAAGGCTTTGAATAGCAATATGTTTCCAAAGTGCCATTTAAGACAAGATCGTTCTGCTTAATCAAAACCACCCATCATCCTCCTCCTCCTCGTTGTCTAGATAGACAAGGGCCACTTTCTTCTCGTCGGAAGCCACCGACCTTTGGTCTACCATTCTCTGCGGCTGCACAGTCTTGTCAACTCCAGCCTGCTCCGTGCCTTTCTCATCCCCAGCGGAGGCCTCAGAGCTCATGGTGGCTGCCTGCTCGTTCCTACTGTGAGCGGTTCTCCAGCCACCATGCTCAGACACACTGCGAGCTTCCACTTCTGACCCTGCGTCTCGGGTCCAGCTGCGGACGGCTCTTGTGTTACTCACGTCCATCTGAAAGGTAAATGAGGTTTCTTTGGGCCCTGGTGCAATGGGACTTAGTGTGCTTCTGTCACCAGCTACCCCACCTAGCTCAGGGGAGGCCGCCGAGCCATCGAGCACAAATGTTTTAGACAGGGGTCCACGGATGACAAAGCGTTCAGAGGGTCCCTTCTCTGAAGGTCCTATCTGAATGTGTTTAAAGGATCTGCTGGTGCCTGCTGTCCCCTCTGCTCCTGTGTCCCCCGCACTGCCTGGAGGGAACTCAGGAATGACTGTTTGGAATGTATTCTCTTTGTTCCCGAAGATTTCTCTACCCGAGGTGACACTGTGAGTGGCCTGGGTCATACCTGCCGAGCCCTCCACAAGGACCACACCTTCTGAGGCCCTAAACTCCAGTGTCTGTGGGGCTATCAACTTGGAGGTTTGGTGCCTCTGAGGCCCAATGTCAATGTGCTGGATAGAAGTACTCCTCCCTAGAGACACTTGGGTGTTCCCAGAATCCTCTTCGACCCTCCACTCCACTTTGTCCGAGATGGGAGCTACGAACTGGATTTCCTCTCTGAGCCCTTCTTTAAGGCCTAACTGGAGATGCCTAACGAAAGTCTGGGTGCCCACCAACTCTTCAGTCGCAAAGCTACCACCAACCTGGGCTGCCCCAGAAACAGGACCCAGAAAATGAATTTCCTTTTCTACATGAAACTGCTCAGAGTCAGACATTCTGTGGTTCCTGGATATGTCTGCTTCCTCAGACGGTTCTGCTGGGCCAGGCTCTCCTGTACCTCCTGCCTCCCGCCAGGTAGGCAGAGAGCCTTGGAAGGTGATTTCGGTGGACACGTGACTTTGATGGGGACCCAGTGTAACGTGCCTCACAGAGCGGCTAGTTCCCTCAGAGCTGGCTGCCTCACGGAAGTTCCCACTTACCTCCACCACCTGTGCGGCGGGTCCTCCGTAGGACGCCTGCTCAGCCCCCCACATTTCTGTGGGGCCTAGTTTAACATGCCTTACAGACTGGCTTATATTTTCTAGCACATGAGACTGTGCAAAACCTGTTGGGCTGGTGACTTCCACGGTGGCCGACACCGGGCCCTGGGTAACGCGCTGATCTGAGCTGTGAGGGGACCAGTCAGCATCCTCTTTCTCACCAGATGGGCTATACAGTTGCCTGGTGGCCCAGCGCTTGAAGAGAGTGCCCCCAGCAGACACCTCCTCCTCTCCATCTTCCCTGTCTGGGCTTCTAGGCATTGGGCTGGAGCGCTTGGTCAAACTCTCTCTTACCACCGACTCCACGGCCCTCTCGATCTCCCCAGCGTCATCTCTGCTCAGTTCCTCCAGGTCTAACTGATCTGCATCCACAGTCTGTGAGAGATTGACTTCAGCCATCAAGGTCACAGAACCACTAGTAGCGCTCTGGACTTTCTTCACGTCCACGGAGACACTCCCTGGCTCTCCCTGACCCGGTCTGGTCAGAGCAGACAGCTCCTCCTTCATGCGCTCAGGCAAGGTTTCCTCCAGCTGCCCGATGACCTCCGCCATCTGGTGCCGGGGCTCGCTGGAGAAGACACCCTTGATGGAGGTATGGAATTCATGTGGTATTTTGATTTCTTTCTCAATGACTGTGGGTTCCGCGTGCAATTCGCCACTAGCTTCTTCCTTCAAGTGGGCAGAACCAACGGCACCACCCAGGGAAGGTGCTGGAACCTCCAGGACCTTCACGTGCTTCTCTTTCTCCGTGTCATCTCTTGCTTTCCTTCTCCAAGGCCCCTGCACAATTTCATCTTGCCACGAGTACCGGATGGTGGACTCTTCTTCTATGTGGATTTGCCCGTACACTGAGCCATCATCTTCTCTGTCATGTCCTCCAGGGTACTCATCTGGGGTAGACACAAAGTAACTCTGCTCTCCCTCTGAGTCACCTGCCTCCGTCACTTCTTCCACGTGAGGGATGCTCCCCTGGGGCTGCTTGGTCCTTTGACGGTGAGGCACCGAGAATGCCTCATGGGTCTCTTCATGACCATCCTCTTCCTCAACAAAGCCTTTGGGGCTGGGAGACACATCATCGACTTCTTCCACATGGAAGGGGGTAGGAAACTCTGCTGTCCCACCACCGGTGTAGCTCACGGGCTCTTCCACGATCTCCACATTGACGACTTTGGCTCTCCCCTCCCTTCCTTTCAGACCAACGTTGATCATCTCTCCTATCATCTTCTCGGCTGACTTGCCCTTCAGTCCCACTTCCTTGACCTCCTTGCTTAAAAGGTACTCCAGGCCGGCTTCATCAGAAACATCAACGTCTTCCGTCAGCTTCGACTCCAGCACGATTTCTGTCTTGGTTTTCCCACTGCCGGGGAGTTCTTTCCTGTCCACGTAAGTGACCTTCGTGTCCGGCAAAGAGCTGTCCTTCCCTTCAGCGTCTGGAGCTTGAGTGAACTGCTTAAGGATGGTGGTGACAATGTTTTCGGCTATGGTCTCCGTCCTAGAATCACTTTGCAGGGAACCGGCAGCATCCTGGGTATCCAACCGGAACTTGGTCTCTTTCATTTCTGCCGCTCTTCCCCTATTGTCGCCAGCATCCTTCCTTCCGGATGACAACAAGTTTTTCGTGGACACTTCTGATCTGCTGCCCCGGGATACTTCTAGACTGATGGGCACCTCCCTTTCCTTCACACTTCTCTCCTTCGGTGATTTCTTCTCTTTGGGCTCGTCCCTCTGCTGGTTTTCTCTCGCTCTTGCATCTCTGTCTAACTTGGTCAGTTCTTCCCATCTCAAGTTTCTTTCCTCTGAGCCCTTCTCCTTAGAATCAAACATCTTCTCTTCTGGCTTTAATTTGACGACTCCCGATCTGTCCCTTTCTTGTTCCCCAGTGGTTTTCACTTCTAATTTCTTTCCCAAAATGACAGTTCTGTCATTTGACTGAGCGTTGTTCATGGCACCTGCCGCCATGTTGCCCCGGTGATCTTTGTGTGACTCTCTGGTGACAATGGACTCTGTGGTCACCCGTATGGGGGTGTCCCTGGTGCCTTCAACTTTGGATCTATCAGAGAATGTTTTCACTTGAGCATCCGTGTTTCTCAGAAGGCTGGGAGTTGGAACAGCAGGCCTGAGACTGGCTTGACCGCTGGCAGTTTTCTCCAGGGATTTTTGCTGCAGGGTTGTAGCCGAGGAAGAATACCCAGAGGTCAGGAAGCCCCTTCTACTCTCAACAGCCGTGGTTGTCTGTGATTCAAGGTGCCCTGGCCTTGTAGAATACAGAGCTGAGCTATGATTTACAGCTGCCCACGGTGTTTTTTGCCTGGGAAATAGATTTTTCTCATTTTTCCTCTGAATGACTGAGCTGGTGTAGCGGTAGGATGCATTTCTGGACTCTGTGAAAATTGAACAAACAGTTCATTTAGATGACAGGCATCATTATTTTCACCCTAAAAGCATTGCTGTAGGTCATCTCGTATGTCAGTATAAAATATACTATTATTACAGAAAGGATCTTTTCAAGACAATACTTTGATTCCCTACATTATCCTTGGGTTGTTCTAGAACTCCTGTCACAATAAGATACTGCCCCACAAATACCTCCGCCTAACATTCTTCCCCAGCCTCGGGTCTTAGAATACTCCCTTAGCTTAAGAGAACCATCAAAGGTCTGAGTGTAAAGTGTGCCGAGTGGGCCAGAGAGGTCAGAAGCCTTGGGTTTTCTGGTTAAATTTTCACAGTATTATGGTCTTCAGAATCATCAGTTCTGACTGTGTTGAGGAAAGGTTACCGACTTCAGCAGAGAAGAGCTCTGTAATTACAAAGGATATAGTTACTGGATGCTGAACAGCGCATCCCTCCACTCAGGTGCTGGGCCGCAGGGATGGAAGACTTTGGATTTTCTAAGCTGCCTTGTATGCTTATACTAGACGAGGTATAGTTTCAAAATCAAAGCAGTTGTCAGAGCACCCCCTGAACTAACGGCATCCCCCTGGAGTCAGCCTTAGCGCTTCCGGCTATACTCAGGGTCATTCTCAGACAGTGGGAATCTTCAGGTGCACAAACTCCACCAGGGTAACCCGCTCTTCGGAGTGTCAACTGAGTTAAAACATGACCAAGCCACCAACCACTCCGAGAGTGTTTCTTTGTGTCCACCACACCCCATCTGGCTGGGCACCTCTCTATCCCTCCCTCACGGCAATGGAGCCTAGAGCTCTCACTGGGACAGGTTCCCAAGATACCGGGAAAGAGCCCAGGCTGGATCATTGTTTACAAAGATTTCTTTTTCCGGTTAATTCACTGATCCTAGCCTAGAAACCCTGGAAAACAAACCCCCACGGTCAGTAGGAGATATGGAGGCTCCCAGGCTAGTGTTAGGTCCCTCACGTCATAGGCAGCAGCCAACAGTATTTCAGGGCACATTTTAAAAAGGCCACTAAGTGCACTAATAAGTATCGATCCGTTACTAGGCAACCATCTGCAGGTTGAGTCCATAAATAGTTAACGAGCAGCTATACTATGCAGGAAACACAACTACTTAAAGAGACTGACTCACAACTAGACACCTTTATTACACAGCATCTTTCTTTAGCATAATGCCTAAGCATTAAGACAACTTAGTTCATAAAGGTGAGGTACGCATACTGTTCAAGCAGCTTGAAGAACAATGGACGAATAGATCACGTTAGCACAGATACCTACCTGTCTTCTTCCTGACTCTAAAGCCACGCATGGCTAGTAAAATATCACCAAATCCCACACTTAGAATGCTAGTCCTCCCAGGAATTTGGTCCTTGGCCCTCTATTTCTCTCTTCTAACCTCAGGTTGTATATTAGACTTCCAGACACATAGCCACAGGTTAAAATTTTAGTAAACCTTGAAACCTGGCAGGTGACAGCTCTTCTTTTCTGGATGTCAGGTAGGCCAGCCAACGGCTACTTGCATGGATCTCTCCATTGTCTTTCAGACTTACTCTCAAAATGAGGACACAAGACTTGGTGACTGTTACTTAAAGGCAAAAATCCCTTCTAGTCATAGGTGATTAGAACCACAGTTCAGAGGCTGAACCCCGGGACCTGGCAAATCAGAGACGTGGCTAACAGGAGCAACGAAGACATGAACGCCACTGAGGACGGCACATGATGGGCCTCGTAGGTGCTGGGTTCCAAAGGTGCCCAACCTGTGGGCTCTCTCCCCACACCCGGGTTACCTAAAGATCGCAATGATTTCAGATGAAATGTCTATATGGAACACATGCAGACTGTTTTCCTGTCATCCCCCCTGAGCAATGCAGCGTGACAGCACTTTACATGGCACACACACGGTACTGCATACGCTAAGTAACATAGAGGGGATTTGAGGTCTGCAGGAGGATATACAAATGCTGTAACATCTTAGACAAGAAACTTGTGCATCTGCGAACTTGGTTATGAAGAGATGTCCTGGAGACAGTCTCCCCCAGACACCAAGGAAGACTTACGCTGGGCATCCATATGTCTTTTAACCTGACACTGCTTACCCAGAATCCCTTTAAATGTTCAGCAGGCTTAATATTTCATTTAAAAGTTATCTTACAGATTTTGAAGGTCTTCCAAAGGAGCACATTAAGCTCTCTTATGCCAGATCTACTGCTGTAGGAATGAAAGGTCTAATCCGAAGCTTTGGGCCCAGACTACGACAGGACACCTTCCGGACTTGCTACTCCAACCTAAGTTGGCAGAGTAATGAATATCGTTGTAACCCAGCAGGGTTGCACTTTCCAGTGTGCTGGCTACCTGCTATCCAAAATAATAATTTTGGATGTTAGTTCCAGCCATAACTGTTTGGTCTGGAAAAAGACAATAGGCCCCTTCTGTGGGTATAATGAACACATGCACACCCTCACCACCCTGCTTTGGGTGATGCTCCTCGGAGAGGAAGTACCTCCGAGTGTTATCTACACAGGCAGAAAATTCCAGTGACTGCTCCCAAGGCCATTCTGATCCACGCTGTAATTTAAAGTATATCCCATTCAACTAAAACCTAGTTGGTACTTAAAACTCTGATGTACTACTTGTTATCTGGGAAACAGTTTGTTTTCCTCAACCCTCTCTGTCTAGGTAATAAACCCTCCTCCCTCTGCAGAGTGGGCAGCTCTGAGGGGAAGCATTTTAACACTGCAGCGCTAACAAACACAGCCTCTAGTATTTACCTTGCGGCATGTTTTCAATGTCCTTCCTCCAGATCAGTATCTCCGGGTTGCTTTCCCCTTCCAACAAGGCCCTGCGAGAAAGTTATTTTTAAAACAGTTTAGTATAGAGTGAAAGAGAGAAAAATGGTTTTCGTCAAATACGTCGGGCAATATTTTGCCAGTGATCATACCACCACGGGACCATGCGTTTAGGACCTGTGCCTGGAGACGTGGCTTGGGTAAGCTGCTCCGGGATGGTCACGGCTCTCTGCTCACCGTCACTCCCCTGACACCCGGCAGAGCATCTGCTACAGGACAGCTGTTCAAGTGACAACCGCTGAAGGAAGAAAATACACGGGCCGGGCTTCGGAAGTACCGGAGAATTCAGTCCTTCGAGGAAATCTCCCCGCGACCTCTCCCCCCCATCCCCCAAAAAAAAGAAAGGTAAAAGAAAACCTTTCCTGTCCTTGGCAAAGTGGGGCATACACCAAGCAGTGCTGGGGAGACAGATGCAGAAGGGCAGGGCAGGGCCTAGCTTCTCTGGCCAGCAGAGAGAGGCCTAGGCCAGTGTTTCACCCCAGTTACAGGGCCCCAGAACAACTGACCCCTCCCCCAACCTCCCCCCCCTTACAGGAGTCATGGAAGTGGGAGACGGATGGGCAGTGGAGGAGGAGCAGTAACAGACACTGTTTGTAAACAGGAGATTGGATGGAGTTGGCACTTCTTCCTTGTGTATAATACTGATCTAACCTAGGGCCGCGTATATGCTAGATCATACATATGCTATGCGAGGCCACATATAGTCTAGGCAAGTCCTCTGCCCCAGAGCTGCATCTGCAGAGCTGTGTGGACACCGCAGAGATGAAGGTCAGCATGTAGAAAAGCACCCCCACGGGCACCCCACTTTCCCTTCACCCCCTTTAAAGAGACGCAGTGAGAAGTACCCAGCTAAGTTGAGCTCCAAATTCCTAAGATTCCAGTCTTCACTACGTTGTCCTTTTGCATCTGCCATGGCAGAGAGGCACTGAGGAGGGCATGGGCCCAAACAGAGCCACATGCTGGGAGGAAGGGTTATGGGTGGGGTGCCAATCAGCTGGTCACTTCCAAAGACCTACAGGACCACTAGAAGCTGCAGACGCAACCGTCGTATGGTTGCTAGAGCAACATGTGAAGGCACTAACCGCAGCTGCCAGGGATACAGCACACACGCAAAGGCTGATGAAAAGAAGCACAGCCCACGTGGAAACACTGATGTTAGGACCTGGGGTCCACAGGGGGACACAGCAGGGGGACCAGATCCCAGATGGGCTTAGCAATTTGAGGAAACTACACCAAGGTTCACCTCTACTGAGTGAAACGCGGCAATCCCCACAGTGGGCAGCTACAAGAAAACGAAACACAGGGGGTCTGCCTGAGGTTCACGCTGGTGGGCTGACCACAGGAGCAGTCACGGAAGTACACATGCCAAGAACAGCAAGGCCAGGGCTGAAGCCCTTCCACTCAGGACGAAGGCCAGGAAACAGGACACCAATCCATTAATCCCCACCCTCATGACCAAGCAGTTCAGCTTCCAGGAACACAAACAGCTTCCATCATCAAAAAAAACAAAAAAAAAAAAAAAAAAGCCAACCCTCAGAGGGCTGTATAATAAGAGAAACGTCAGGGGCAAAGTCAGATGTCTCTATCCTGGGGTTATTTCAACCGTTCCACAGCTGAGGGTCAGAGCACAGCCTAGAGACAAGGCCATCCTTAGACCATACAAGATTCACACACGCCAAGGCCAGACACAGACCCAGGCTGCCAGACTCAGGACAGAAGGAGCCTTTGGGAGTTCGTGTCAGGAGAAGATATTGCTGATGGGCACGGGGGACCAATGACCCGGGAAAAACTATGCCTTTCCCCACCCCTCAGTGGATAACGGTTCTCTCTCCTCCAGGGCAAAGCCAGAGCTTTATCCAGCTTTTCAGACGACAGAGTCAGCCCAGAACGGAACAGTTGCGCCTCCCATATCCACTTACACATGCGGTTCTGATGTCCCAGAGCTCTGGGCCTTGCCAAGCTCCCTCACGGAGGAAAACAGGCCAGAGTGAAGACAGTGTCTTGAAGGGCCCACGGAACACCCAAAGACAGAACCCGAACCCAGCCCCTCACCTTCCACTTGCTAGGCTTCCCTATGAGACAGGGATGGTGGCAGTGCCTGAAAATTCCAGAACCCATAAATGATGCCCTCTATCTCTACTCTATACCACATTCACAAAAACAAACTCACATAAATGATGCGTTCTATCTATATAGACCTATACCACATTCCTAATAGCAAATTCGCATAAACGATGCTATCTCTATAGACCCTCTATATCACACTAATGAAAGCAAATTCAACCTCTCGGTAATTTCATCCCAATTCCCCCCATTTGTGCTCTCCTTTGTGAGTCTCCAATCTGCGCCCCTGTCCGTGACTGAATCCTAGAAGGCAGGGGCACATGTCACCTGTACCCAGTACAGAGCCTGAGATGGACGGCCGGCCCCTGGGTTCGCAGTTCTTGCCACTGGAGCACTTGCACCTCAGTGACAGCACTAGACCCTGACTTGTCAACACAGCTCCGGGGACTAACATGGCAAAGTCAGCGGCGCTAGGGAGATTTCCTGTGACCCCTTCAAAGAGCGGCAGGAGGGACAGACTCGTACAGCTTTAAGAAATGCGTAGAGCGCTCTCCGAGGCTCCCACCAAACCCGGTTATTTTAAGAGCAGGCTAGGAAAGCTGCCTCCAGGCCACTGAGACTGTGAGGATGCCAACTCCCTGAGTCACTGACTATTACAGAGCATGTCATACAGCTCCACGGGCCGACTGCCTCTCCAATAGGAAAACAGGCAAAGAAGCAGGAGACCAGACCCTGGCCTCATTAGGAGCCCGGCACAGCCCATGATGTGGAAGGGAGCTGTAATGTGGCCTCTGGCCCCATTCCAGGCCCTAATGGGCCACCCAGCCTCCCAACCAGCCTGGTATGAGGCTGCCCATGGCGATGGATGCGCTGAACAGAATTTCAGGGCATATCAGCTAGTCTTCAGCACTGTGGGCGCAAGGCCGATGAGACGCTCGTCTCCCATAACCGAGGATAAGACGAGGGAGAGGGACGGAAGGGGGCATGTCCAGGAGTGACACCTGTGAGGGTCTGTGGGTGGTCCTCGTGATGCTTTCCACAGGTGTGGACCGGGGTGAGAAGAGAGCAGGGTCGCAGACCCTCAGAGTCGCCCCCTTCAGCCTGCTCCCTGCATAGCTGAGCTCTCATGGTAGGGGCAACACGGGTCCCCCTAGACACTGACCAGAGCCAGTCAGTACTAGAGGATGGGGGAGAAGGGAGAGGAGAAAAGAGAAGGACACAAATGCTGAGTCTGGGGACGAGGAAGGGACAGTGTGCGCCATCTGTGTTCATTCTTTCCACGGTAAGTTGTATTCCAAAAGCCAGCTGTAGACCGAGACTGGAGACAGAAAACAAACAAACAAACAAACAAACCATGGTACAATTAGCAGACAAGCAAAGGATTCTGACCAAACAGAACAGAACCACTGGACCTTGACTCAAATCCTGGACAGGACTTCTGAGTTACCTAAGCCTCAGCAGGGCGCTCTGACCAGTGGCGACTTACTTACCCCAGTTCTGAAATGGGACGGATGCTTAGGTTTACGATGGCAATTAAGTAAGCAGCAGAAAGTTCACAGAACAAAGGCTGTCCCTGAGTGAGTGCCTGACGAACAGCATCATCATTACCTCCTTCTACGGCCTCAGAGGAAAGGGATTCTCAGCTACTGAAGTCAGCCAAGGAAAGGAGTGTTCTCTTTCTTCATCTGGCTAGCGCCCAATCCCGGCCAACCCTCTCTCTCACTTACTGTTTGTGTTTCAGATAGTCTCACAGGGTAGCTCAGGGTGGCTTTGAACTCGAGATCCTCCTGCTTCAGTCTCTCAGGCACTAGGACACAGCACGTACTACCACACCTACCTCCTCTCAATTATTTATCCTTTATTTCATTTTTTTTTTTGAGACAGAGTCTCTCTTTATAACCCTGGCTATCATGGAACTCGCTCTGTAGACCTGGCTGGCCTTGAACTCACAGAGATCCGCCTGCCTCTGCCTTCTAAGTGCTGGGATTTAAAGCAAGTGCCACCGCCACCCACCTCAATTCTTTATTCTCAAACTACAAAATTTTGCCCATCCCAAATATTTTTTTACTAGCAACCAGGTCTCAGCGTGAAACACAGATTTCTAAATACCTATACCCCCCCAAACCAGAATATAACTTTAAAAATAAAATCTACTTCATTGAAGCTGGTGCAGGTGCTCAGAAATATAGTCTTTAAACACATGTGAGAAGATACAGGTAGCCTGAAAAATAATGGAACAGCCAGAAATGCCATGACCACGAGGCTGCCCACATTCCGTGTCACCTGAAATCGCTTCACTAGTCGGCTTAGACACCACACTCTCCCGGCCTCTGTTAAAACACTGATATCTCGTCCACTGTGATCAAAAAGTGGAAGCAGGGAGTTTTGTACCACCATTATTTATCTGCCTGAGGTTTTGTTTGCTCAGTGTGGGGTTGGGGAGGCAGGACGCACTTGTGTACAGGTATGTGCCTGCACAGAAGCCAGACTCTGCTCTATTCCCTCCAGTCGGAGACTCTCACAGATCCTCTAAACTGGTAGCCAGCAAGTTCTAATGACCCTCCTGTCTCTGCCCCCCCGTAGCAGTGGAATTACAGCTCAGTTTTACCAATGCATATAAAACAAAGTAAATAAACTACTCTAAAAAGAATAAAGAACTCACATCATTGTTTGCACAGCAAGTGCTCTTAGCCACTGAGCCATCTCCCCAGCCCAGATGTGACGGTCCCTAACTTAACTTTTCTAAATGGCTTACCATATCTATTTACTGGACGTGTGTGCGCTCACACACGTGCCACGTTATGTGTGTGATCTCATGACCTGGGGGAGTTGGTTCTCTCCTTTTACCATACGGGCTCCAGGGAATCACACGCAGACTTGGTGGCAAGCATCTTTACCCACTGAGACACCCTCACCAGCCCTAACTTTA